CCAGGTCAGCAGGGTTTTCGGATGTCGGTACATGTCTCCACTGCGTGTTCGGGTGGCTCTGGATCTTTTTAACCCGATTAGCCACGAATTGGCGGTACTCCCCGTCATCGTTCAGCCAGTGTAAGGCTACAGTGCTGTCGAGCCAGCACTGTATATCCTCCGTCATATTAAAGCTTTCTAGCGCCACCCGCACATTTGTAGACAAGTTGACTGCCATATGGCCTGACACGAGCTCCAAACAAGGAATCGTCAGACTTTTCTTGGCAAGGCGGGTGTGATGTATGTAAATCCAGACACGAGATCAGTCACAAACTTCTAGTTCTTTGTCGTTCTTTATTATCCTCGATCGGCCCATTCAGCGCTTCACAAGCGGAATACTCGGCCTATACTTATTCGACTCAAAATAACCGTGCCACCGCAACAGTTAAGCTCGAAAAACTATAAATCAACTCCACAAAAGTACGAGAAAACGAAAGGGAAAGTAAAGCAAAGCAAAGCTTAAAATTTCGTGACTGACTGTCAAAACGAAAAAAACCACGTGACCAAAGAAAACAATGAAATACATTAAAATAATTACTATTGACGGGAAAAGACACAACAGCGGGATTTGGCGGCAATCAGACCCTGTGTCAACGCCTGACGCCTGTGTAACCACAGCATGCACAGCAGCATACACACCGTGAATACTTGCATCACCAAATGCACGAAGTTTAATATTGTCTATCGGTTCCTGGTACTGAACAAGACTGCGAGGAAAGTACACATCATCTGGTGCATTCTTCTCCCATTTTAGCCACCGTTTCGCGGTCCCCTCGGGAAGTGGGGTATCCTAGCTCAACTTCATCTCACTGGCTTCTCGAGAGATTTGTTTCCCCTTTAACATTGCAGGCGACACAAGTCCTAACGGGTCATAAATATTCGCTAAGTTGGCGAGGATGCCCCGCTTGGTCAATGTAGCAGGCTGAGATGGGAATGAAACATGTAAAGTGTCATCCCCTTTGTCCCATTTGAGTCCCAGTAGTTTGCACTCTCCACGAGCTGATGATGCACCAAGCTGTTGTTTAGCAAACGAAGGCTCGTCATCGGTGCAGTCGCCTTCTAGTTCTGGCACGTTTGAGTGCCATTTGTGCAAGGTGAACCTTGCATGATTAAAGATCTCTACCGCATGATGTTTGAGGTGTTGCGCACCTTCCACAGTAGTATCTCCAGTAATCAAATCATCTACATACAGACTGTTCTTAATTTCTTGCACAGTCCGTGGGTACTCGGACTGCAGACTTTCCAGGTGTTGTTGTATCACGGCATTGAGTTGGAAAGGAGAAGGAGCAAGACCAAAAACCACTCTCGTAAACCTCACCACTTCCAGTTCTTTAGTCGATTTGTCTTTAATCCAGTGGAACCTCAGCGCGTCACGTTCAGCTTCCTTCACACATATCTGTAGGAAGGCTAACCGCCTCCCAGTTAGCTCAATTGGTTAGAGCGCCGGATTGTGTTGTGCGGGAGGTCGAGGGTTCGAGCCCCGGCCGGACTGATACTCATGGTCTTAAAATAAGTGAGGAGAATTTGCTACCTTTCTATAATCAAAAAATGGATAGATATTCTAGTCTTCTCGGATAAGGACGAATAAACCGTAGGCCCCGTCTCCTGCAGGGTTAGGGGTAGGAGACGTTAATTTCCCACGCACGAGATTACTGTGTGGTGGATGTCCTCCCCTGGGGTGGGATGGGTGGGT